TTTTGTGTGCCAAGTTTGGTCTAGGTCCATCATCAGTGAAGGTCACAGTTTATCAGATTGTGGGTGCACTACAACTCCCAGAAAAGAAGGTCAGGTCCTCCCAAACTCCTCCAAAAATCAAATTTCAACGTATCAGGTATGTGTGCCAAGTTTGGCCCAGATCACAGTGCTCTCTGGATGAAGGTGACCAACAACTCCCCCGAATTAAGGTGAATTTTCCCTGGAGAACTCCAGTATTTTTGCTGGTCATGGGGGCTCTGTGTGCCAAGTTTGGCCCAATTCCATCTTTGGTGGGGTTCAGAGTGCTCACTGATTTATTTTAATTTTTTTGTCGTGTCAGGAGCGACCTGGTGTGAGAGAATTGGCCATCTGCAAGGACGTTGCCCAGGGGACGCCCGGATGATTTGATGTTTTTGTCATCCTTGTGGGAGGCTTCTCTCATGTCCCCGCATGAGGAGCTTGAGCTGATAGAGGGAGCTCATCCGCCTCTCCCCGGATTTGAACCTGCGACCTGTCGGTCTTCAGTCCTGCCGGCACAGGGCTTTAACCCACTGCGCCACCGGGGGCTCCTGATTACAGGTGAACTATAAATCCCAGTACCTACAACTCCAAAATGTCCAGGCCAATTTCCCTCAAAACCAACCAGTATTTAAATTTGGGCATATCAGGTCTGTAGGCCAAGTTTGGACCAGATCCATCGGTGTTTGGGTCCATATTTCTCTTTGGATGTACAACTACAACTACAACAACTACAACTCTCCCAAATCAAGGTGAATTTCCCCCTAAGAGCGCCAGTATTTTTTGCTGGTAACAAGGGCTCTGTGTGCGCAGTTTGGTCCAATTCTTTGGTGGAGTTCAGCGTGCTCATTGATGGCTGGTGAACTATATATCCCAGTACCTACAACTCCAATAAATCATGCTGAATTCTCCCCAAACACCTTCAGTATGTTCAGTTGCGGATCAATTCCTCTGTTTGCTGTGTGCCATAGAAAAGAATAGGAAAAAATTAAGGAAGAGGCAGTGGACAGGGTCATGCAAATTCCACACCAATGGAGGGAGTCAGAAACACTGAGATGTCTGTGGTGGAGGAAACACATAACATCTAGGATGATATTATCCTTGTATGAAAGTCTTCACTTGGGTGGTGGGCAGTATGGTGTTGGTGGAGAACATTAGCAGGGCTCTTGGACATGTTCACAGCGCTTACTATAACCTGGGATGTCATTGGAGGCACGGCCATTGGTGTCCTCCCTAGGAGTGGGAGCTATAGCTGTTTGTGGAGGCAGGTGCTTGTGTCTGTAAGTGAACACCCCAGCCACACACACATATATAATTTTCACTTTTATTATGTGTATAGAAAAAAAATCAATCAGCACAAGTATGGAATTATTTAAAAGATAAATATAGAGAAAAATGTGTTTTTAACTAAGGACTAGACCAATCCTGAGCATACAACTATCAATATTTGTTACAGTGATGATTCTGTATTGCCAATCCAAAGTTCTGAATACCAATTGAACGAGAGTTCTCTTGAAGAGTGGGAGCTCCTTGCGGACTTTCCAAAAGCCTCTAATTGGCTGCCATAGGGACAGAATTCATCTCAATGCAGGCCCGATCCAGCTGGACTCTTTTTATGTTCTCCTCGAAAGCAGTACATGTGAAAAAGATCTTGGAGTCCTTGTGGGCAGCAAGTTAAACATTTGCCGCCACAATGTGATGTGGTGGCAAAAAAAGCCAATGGGATTTTGGCCTGCATCAATAGGAGCATAGTGTCTAGATCCAGGGAAGTCATGCTACCCCTCTATTCTGCCTTGGTTAGACCACACCTGGAATATTGTGTCCTATTCTGGGCACCACAATTGAAGAGAGATATTGACAAGCTGGAATGTGTCCAGAGGAGGGCGACTAAAATGATCAAGGGTCTGGAGAACAAGCCCTATGAGGAGCGGCTTAAGGAGCTGGGCATGTTTAGCCTGAAGAAGAGAAGGCGGAGAGGGGATATGATAGCCATGTATAAATATGTGAGAGGAAGCCACAGGGAGGAGGGAGCAAGCTTGTTTTCTGCTTCCTTGGAGACTAGGACGCGGAACAATGGCTTCAAACTACAAGAGAGGAGATTCCATCTGAACATGAGGAAGAACTTCCTGACTGGGAGAGCCATTCAGCAGTGGAACTCTCTGCCCCGGAGTGTGGTGGAGGCTCCTTCTTTGGAAGCTTTTAAACAGAGGCTGGATGGCCATCTGTCAGGGGTGCTTTGAATGCAATATTCCTGCTCCTTGGCAGAATGGGGTTGGACTGGATGGCCCATGAGGTCTCTTCCAACTCTTCGATTCTATGATTCTATCCTGTGTCCCTGTTTCATACTCCTGCAATCATTTTTAATTTATTTATGTAGAGTATTTATACTCTGGTCTTCAGGCACAAAGGCTTTCAGAACATCTTACAAACTGTTAATTTGACATTGCCATGCCCTCAGGTTTACAATATAAATAAGACATGGCACACAAGGAAAAGAGAATCTCTGGGAGGGAGGGAATTTAATCCAGTAGCTACTCCCAGCTCTACCTTCCCTCTGGGACCACAATGGGGGCAACTGAGGTAGAGGAAGGGTCTTCATCTTCTTCTAGATCAATGGTTCTCAACCTTCCTAATGCTGCAACCCCTTAATACAGTTCCTCATGTTGTGGTGACCCCCAACCATAACATTGTTTTCGTTGCTACTTCATAACTGTAATTTTGCAACTGTCAATGTAAATACCTGATATTTACATTAACAGTGACGTCAATGAGACTGTAATGTAAATAGCTGATATGCAGGGTGGATTTTTGTTCACTGGACCAAATTTGGCACAAATGCCTGGAATGCCCAAATTTGATAGCAATAGCAATAGCAGATTCCCAGATTAGTTTAGTGTTATTTTATTTTTCCAGTTGTTTAATATTTAATGTGTATTTTACTTAAGTGATATTTATCTTGACTGTTCTAATGTAGGACAAATCCTATGTAGAATCATACTACGTATTTTTTGACATTAATAGTGAAATCTGAAATATAAACGGAAAGTCTTTACTTTCTGTATGTCATTTGGGAGATGTAGTTGCTGGGATTTATAGTTCACCTACAATCAGAGAGCATTCTGAATTGAATAAAACTTGGCACACAGAACTCCCATGACCAACAAAAATACGGGAAAGGTTTGTTGGACATTGACCTTGAGTTTTGGAGTTGTAGTTCACCTACATCCAAAAAGCACTGTGGACGCAAACAATGATGGATCTGGACCAAACCTGGCATGAATATTCAATGTACCCAAATGTGAACCCTGATGGAGTTTGGGGGAAATAGTCCTTGATATTTGGGAGATGTAGTTGCTGGGATTTATAGTTCACCTACAATCAGAGAGCATTCTGAATTGAACCAAACTTGGCACACAGAACTCCCATGACCAACAGTAAATACAGGAAGGGTTTGTTGGGCATTGACCTTGACTTTTTGAGTTGTAGTTCACCTACATCCAGAAAGCACTGTGGATTCCAACAATGATGTATCTGGACCAAACTTGGCATGAATACTCAATATGCTCAAATGTGAACCCTGATGGAGTTTAGGGAAAATAGACCTTGACACTTGGGAGTTGCATTTATTGGGATTTATAGTTCACCTACAACTAAAGAGCATTCTGAACCCCACCAAGGATAGAATTGGGCCAAACTTCCCACACAGAACTCCCATACCAACAGAAAATACTGTGTTTCCTAATGGTCTTTGGCGACCCCTGTGATGCCCCCCTCGCGACCTCCCCAGGGGTCCTGACCCCCAAGTTGAGAAACGCTGTTCTAGATCCAAACATGATGGTAGTTGAAACGGAGGGATGCCATTTCAATCATAGCTTGGAAAAGCAACTTCTTGAACAACAACTGGCCATACTAACTGGAAGGTTCTAGGGATCTTTCTCCTGTGTGTCTCTTCAAGTCAATTCTAACCTATGGCAACCCAAAGTGAACCAATCACAGGGTCTTCTTGGGAAGATTTATTGAGAAAGGTTTGGCCGCTTTTGGCACCTGAGAAAGCATGACATATCCAAGCTCACCTAATGGGTTTCCATAACTGAGCAGGGATTTGAATCTTGGCCTCCTAATTCCTCTACATCGCATTGGCTTATGTCTGGGAATCCTAGTCCCAAAAACAATTATTTATTATTTATTTATTTAGAAGTTTTCTATACCGGTCTTCTCACCTCGACGAGGGACTCAGGCCGGTTTACAGCATATATGCAATTTACAATAACAATACAATTACAGCATATATGCAAATTACAATAATGTTTTCAAGCTCAGCTTTTGCTGCCTGCAAGAGGGTAAACTCAGATTTTATAGGTTGTTTTTCTTTGTGGCAAAAGGGCATCTTTTTTGGTTCAAAGCGGAGCCCCTGGTAACACAGCGGGTTAAACCGCTGAGGTGCTGAACTTGCTGACCAAAAGGTCAGCGGTTCGCATCCAGGGAGCAGGGTGAGCTCCTGCTGTTAGACCCTGCTTCTGCCAAAAATAAATGAGCTGCTGCTGTTAGACCCTGCTTCTGCCAATATAGCAGTTCAAAAACATGCAAATGTGAGCAGAAGAATAGGTACCGCTTCGGTGGAAAGGTAAACAATGCTCCATGCAGTCATGCTGGCCACATGACCTTGGAGGCATCTATGGATAATGCTGGCTCCTCGGCTTAGAAATGGAGATGAGCACCCCCCCACTCCCCCAAAGTCGGACTCAACTAGACTTCATGTCAAGGGGAAACCTTTACCTTTGATTCAGATCATCTTCCTTCCCACTGAGACCAACTAAAAACTTTCAGGAATCCTCTACTTGGGCTTTGATGGTCTCCTGTGCTTATTTTCCCACTGCTGAAGAATACAAAATCCCCAACAATGGGGGAATGGAGGCAACATTGAAACCAGAGAAACTGCCACAGAGGAATAAATTCACTTGCTTTTTGGGTAAATTTCCTAGACTGCAGATTCATCATGTGGGACCAGCCTGTCACAAATCACTGCTGATTGCAGCATTGGAGAAGATGATGTGAGGCTGATTCAGTCGGTTTTCCGGGCTCACATCACACGGATGCAACATCAAGAAAGGTGCGTGCAAAGAGTTCACATTGTTTGCAAGATTATTTCAAAACAGTGTCTTCAACTTTACAACTTTGGGCTTTGGCTAAGAAAAAAAATCCCTAAAAATTGGGGGATGACCCAAATGTTATAAAACTTGGTGGGCTAAAAGTGGTAAATATGCCCTCCATGTGTGGTGATTTTTCACCCCTCTAGCGCTAAAACTGAGGGGAAGCCCGCCCAAGTTGTCCAGTAGCCCGAACATTTTCGGTTTTTTGGACGCGGAATGAAAAAGCTCATTTAGAAAGGCGCCTGTTTTTGGAAGAAAACGAGGGGGAGGGGCTACAAATGAAACAAACAGAAACAGCGATTCTTTCCAAATGCACAAGGCTAATTCTCAGGACTGCAGTAAGTCAATTCTGAATATGTTCATATATGCAGTGTGTAGTGAATTCCCTATCTGTTAGGCTAGGAAAAGCCTAGAAAACTAGGCTCAGGAAGTTCGGCAGCCATTTTGGAAAGGGTACTGGGGAAATCAATTTTAGTTACTCATTTCCTGAAGAAAGAGCAGCTTTGGAGGGAAATGAGGGAAGACTGTATTTGCTGAGTTAGAGTGGGTGGAGCCTAACTTGGCAAAAGAAAAAAAAATGACTTTAAGGGAAGGTTTTGAAACCCTGTCAGGGAGATTGAACCTGGGTGTCAAAGGGGGAAGGTGTTAGGAGTTTGGAGTGGTGAAGAAGGGTTAGAGAAAGAGGCCTGAGATTGGTCTGTTGGCTAGCGGAGTTAGTGGAAATAATTCTATAGCTATTAGGGAACTAGCTGTGTGCTGGTACAGCTGTACCAGGAGCTCCAATTCTGTTTGCTTTGCATTAAATGTTTCTTGCAATCCCAGGCTTGGGATTTTGCAGCAGGGTGGCTTCCTGTTATAGTTTGCAATCATAGGGCAAGCCACCTGTCAATTATAGTTAGGTTCCCTGGTCCCGCCCCTTTTTGAGTTTTGGAGGGAATAGGAGCCTTTTTGAGTCAGTCCACACAGAGAAGCCTTTCGCACAGGACATAAAACAAAGAGCTCCTGTAGAAAGCTTCATCTTCTACGGCTTGGCTGGGAGACATACAGCTTTACAGCTTGGCCGGGGTTATACAGCCCTACGGCTTGGCCGGGGAGATATACAGCCTACAGCCTATGGCTTGGCCGGGGAGATATACAGCCTACAGCTTGGCCGGGGTTATACAGCCCACAGCTTGGCCAAGGATCATACAGCCTTACAGCTCCTTTGCTGAGGGACTTCAGCCAGCCATCACCGAAACCTGAACTCCTTCTTTTTCCCTGGAAGTCTACAAAGCTCTGCTTGGTAAGGGTCGCTCGCGGAAGCCAGACGCAGTTGGTACCGGGTGCAGGGGCTCCACGCCAACAGAGGCAAGTACAGACTGCCCAGATTAGAAGTTAAGGATTTCCCCATTAGTTAATTACAGTTAAGAAGATAGTGCCTGTTCCCAGTGAACAAGATTGCAAGAGCCAATAGACTGTTAAGAATAGCTTTAAAGTACCTGTTTGTTTTCATCAATAAAGAACTTTGTTGGACTTACTTTAAGCCTCTACAGAACTTTGTTTGTGGGGAGGTCCAAGGGCCTTTAATCTGAGGCAGCCCCGGCGTCCCGTTGGGCACACAGAATTTATGTCCTGTCTATAGTCATGTGCACAGGCCCCAGCACAAGCTGGTAGAAGAGGGAAGCGATAGCTCCAGGATAGGACTATCTGTGCTGGTGTAGAATTACTTTGAGAGAGCAATCCTGTCAGTATTTCTGTGGAGGGAGAGAGAAGTATTTAATGTATAACTTAGTCTGAACTGTTTAAAGTAACCACACACTTTTAAGGCAGTATTTTTGAAACAGCTAAGCTTAATACCTGAATTGTTCCTGTTCTCTTAAATAAACATCATTGTTTTGTTATTCACAACATCTGCCTCACGTGTGCCTCTGTGGGTGAAGTTTTAAAGGCAGTTCCCTGTAACAATTAAGAGTCTATGGTGGCAGCGTAGTTTTTGAAGATCAATCTTTAGTGTTACCTCAGAAACACAAGCCTGAGGGTTTACTCAAACACACTCTTGCTTAAGAATACTCCCAGTAAGCCAAGGCCTTAACAGCGCTTCTAAGTTGGTGGGTGCCAGAGGGCTTTCAAAAAGGGGTTTTCGGCCAGAAGAAAGTTCCAGCTGTCTTTACAGCTTTTTGTTTTGGGGGCTTTTAGTCACAGAAGCCACATCCAATCTTAAGTGGTGTTCTGCTGTTTGGTATTTTTATATTTCCCCATATAAAGCCTCTCTGTCAACAATCCTTTATATTTTGGTTTGCAGTAGTTGGGATTTTTATTTTCAAATAAATCCTCAACATCTCTATAGAATACTCTAGCCATGAGACTTCACTTTCTTCTCTTTTATGGCTCTTTCAATTCTCCACTTCTTGCAGGTCACGGATCTCTAGCCTCGAGAGTCGGAAAGCAAACCCAGTTGCCTTCGCTGGAGAGGAAAAGCCAGTCTGGTCTCCATTCAGACATCCGCCACTTGCCTTCACTTTAGTGCCAAGTAATCTCATGTCTTGTTGCTGTATTACCTTGATACTTTCCTTATCATTCAATCTTTGCTGGTTTGTGTGGACTTTGCATAGGTGCGTTTTCTCCTGTTTAGACTCATTCAGCTACTACTTGAATACTTCTAGCTGCTCATTTTCCATCTCATTTCCTAGGTGGAATGCATATAACTATCTTATTTATTTATTTACAGTATTTATATTCCGCACTTCTCACCTCGCATGGGATTTGGGGCAGATTACAATGCACATATACATGGCCAACATTCAATGCCATTAGACATACAACATATATAGACAGACACAGAGGCAATTTAATGTTCCAGCTTTCCAGCTTCATGAGCGTATGCTCCATTCCAGCCACAGGGGGAGCTGGCACTTCACTGCCCACTTGGTGACACCGAATCCTTGATGGAGTACTTCCTCATTCTTCTGCAAGCTGCTGGAAGGTTTTATGGTGTGGTAAATTAGTTAAATTAGCCTCCTTGCATAAAGCAGTACCTAAACTTTCTGCTTGATAGATGCAACTGTCTTTTGGGCTGCATAGGTCAACAGCAAGCTAGACTATTAATGGTCGGGAGCTCGCTCCAACCAAGGCTGGCTTTGAACTCATAACCTCTCGGTCAGTAGTGATTTAATGCAGCTGGCTACTAACTAGCTGCGCCACAGCCCGGTCCTACGTCAGGTGTGTGTGTGTGTGTGTGTGTTTTGGGCCTCAGGTTTACATCACAGACTGATTCGATCGCAAAGGGGCCGAGAGCAAGCCTAAGGCTAAACACAGGCTTGGCCCTCCGTCTTTTAGCGGAGCAACCGAGTCATTGATTTTGCAATTGTTATAACTTTTATACGTTGACAGCCATTCCATCACATTGATTTTTTTACATAGGCCGCAGAGTAAGTATCAATTACTGTGGACTTCATCGGGTTGTTGGGAAGGTTAATAACTAGCATTACTTAACAGCTTAACCGTTCCAGACACAAGCTGTCCAAAACATATAAAGTGAAGAGACGGCCCACGGCGGAAATGGCGGGAATAGATGGATGGCCCATTTCATTGTTGCTATCTGTTATCTGCAATAGAGGGGAATTGATAACATACCAATTGATTTTCCCCCGTCCGCGGTTGCTGCCCGTTCCCACTGAGAGTGAGCTTGCCTTTTATTGTGCGATGAGGAGAAGCTTTGCCTGCTGCATTGAGGCTCCCCTCCATATTGGGAAGGAAACCTGTACTTTTGTGATTTCTCCCTCTTCTTCTCATTCGTCTCTTTGTTGTTTGATCAAATCGTATTGTCCGTACCGTGTCGAGCTACACTTTTGTCAAGCTGTTGTTTGTGTGTGAGGGGGAGGAGAGAAAGGAGGCATTCCTATCGCATAGGGCAGTGTTTCCCAACCTGGGGGTCAGGACCCCTGTGGGGGTCGCAAGGGGGTGTCAGAGGGGTCGCCAAAGACCATCAGAAAACATAGTATTTTCTGTTGGTCATGGGGGTTCTGTGTGGGAACTACAACTCCCAAATGTCAAGGTCTATTTTCCCCAAACTCCTCCAGTGTTCATATTTGGACATATTGAGTATTTGTGCCATGTTTGGTCCAGATCTATCATTGTTTGAGCCCACAGTGGTCTCGGATGTAGGTGAACTACAATTCCCAAGGTCAATGTCCACCAGACCCTCCCAGTATTTTCCGTTGGTCATGGGAGTTCTGTGTTCCAAGTTTGGTTCAATTCCATCATTGGTGGAGTTCAAAATGCTCTTTGATTGTAGGTGAACTATAAATCCCAACAATTACAATTCCCAAATGACAAAATCAATCCTCTCCACAACCCCACTAGTATTCAAATTTAGTTGTATTATTGGATATTTGTGCCCAATTTGGTCCAGTGAATGGAAATACATCCTGCATATTGGATGCTTACCGATTCATAACAGGAGCACAATTACAGTTGTGAAGTAGCAACGAAAATAATGTTACCGTTGGGGGTCACCACAACATGAGGAACTGTACGAAGGGGTCGTGGCATTAGGAAGGTTGAGAAACACTGGCATAGGGTTTGTTGTTCAGCACATTGTCTCAAAGTACTCTCTTATGTCCCAACTAGCTGTCCCCCGCCACACATTTCTGTGACCCAGTCTCTGTGTATGTGTTTTGTGTGCATATATGTGTATATATTTGTGTATATATGTGTGTTTGCATATATATGTTTGTGGTTTTGCGCATGCCTTGTAATGTATTTTTTTGTTCTTTAGCTTTTTAAGTCTCTTTTGCTGTGTTTTTCAGTGTTTTTATGAGTGATGGCCACTTGTTGGCCTGATAGGTGTATTGTGTCCAAATTTGGTGTCAATTTGTCCATTGGTTTTTGAGTTATGTTAATCCCACAAACGAACATTACATTTTTATTTATATAGACTAGCCGTCCCCGGCCACGTTGCTGTGGCCCAGTCTGTGTATATGTGTTTTGTGTGTTATATGTACTTTTTATTTTTTGGCTTGTTAAGTCTCTTCTGCTGTGTTTTTCAGAGTTTTTATGAGTGATGGTCACTCGTTGGCCTGAGAGGTGTATTGTGTCCAAATTTGGTGGCAATTCGTCCAGTGGTTTTTGAGTTACATTACATTTATTCATTTATTTATTTATGCTGGCCGTCCCCTGCCATACGTTGCTGTGGCCCACATGGGGGTTCTGTGTAGGAGGTTTGGCTCAATTCTATCGTTGGTGGGTTCAGAATGCTCTGTGATTGTAGGTGAACTATAAATCCCAGCAACTACAACTCCCAAATGTCAAGATTCTATTTTCCCCAAACTCCACCAGTGTTCACATTTGGGCATATTGAGTATTTTTGTGTAGAGTTTGGTCCAGATCCATCATTGTTTGAGTCCACAGTGATCTCTGGATGTAGGTGAACTACAACTCCAAAACCAAAGGACACTGCCCACCAAACCCTTCCAGTATTTTCTGTTGGTCATGGGAGTTCTGTATGCCAAGTTTGGTTCAATTCCATCGTTAGTGGGGTTCAGAATGCTGTTTGATTGTAGGTGAACCATAAATCCCAGCAACTACAACTCCCAAATGACAAAATCAATTTTTTTTGAGTGAAGGACATACATTGGCTTCTTAGGTGTATTGTGTTCAAATTGTGTCAATTTGTCCAGTGTTTTTCGAGTTCTGTTAATCCCACAACGAACATGACATTTTTATTTATATAGACTAACCACGCGTTGCTGTGGCCCAATGTGTATATGTATTTTGTTATATGTTTGTGTGTGTGTGTATGTCTGTATATATGTGTGTGTTTGCGTGTATATATGTGATTTTGTGCATGTATTGTAATGTATTTTTTAATTTTGTGGCTTTTTAAGTCCCTTCTGATGTCTTTTTCAGTGTTTTTATGAGTGATGGTCACTCCTTGGCCTCATAGGAGTATTGTGTCCAAATTTGGTGTCAATTCATCCAGTGGTTTTTGAGTTATGTTAATCCCCCAACCAAAAATATATATATGTGTGTGTGTGTGTGTGTATACTAATAATCAGCCTCAGTTGAACATATATTTGGCTTGAATAAATGGAAATTTGGCCTTTTGATGGGTACCTGAACCCCCACACAGGGGGCATGGTAAATTGATATATGACTGATTGGCAGCTGAGATAAATGAGTTTCAGAAAACAGGAGCCAAGATGGAGGTTGTAATTGGTTTCTAATAGCCTAATCCTAAACATAATGCAAGTGTATATTGGAAGGAGAAATTCTATTGTGCTGGTCTCCATGGAAGCACAATTAGGAAGTTTCGCGTCTCAAAGTGGTTCTGAAACAAAGAAATGAAAGCTGGCAATGGGGTCTTGGCTCCAAATGCAGTATAGTAATCCAGCTAATAATAGGCCCTGACTAGTTCCAAAAAGAGAAATAGACCTAAAAAGCAAGACCTCTTAATTATTCTCTCTGTTCTCAGGGAACTTGCTTTGTTTGCCTCTATCCTTAGTGCAATTAGTTCATAAATCGTCCCACTCAAAACTGTTCTTTCCCCACCCAAAACTTCCACAGATCTCCTTTATCCCAACTGCAGCAGCCCATAAGAAATAAACGGGTCCATAGCACTTTCACCAATGGGGAAAAAAATATCAAAAAGCAAGCAAATCATTTGCCTAACATTCTTTTAAATGGTTCCTGAAATATACAAAGGTTGAATGAAAAGTAATGCCTCATAGAATCATAAGAGTTGGAAGAGACCTCATGGGCCATCCAGTCCAACCCCATCCTGCCAAGAAGCAGGAATATTGCATTCAAATCACCCCTGACAGATGGCCATCCAGCCTCTGTTTAAAAGCTTCCAAAGAAGGAGCCTCCACCACACTCCGGGGCAGAGAGTTCCACTGCTGAACGGCTCTCACAGTCAGGAAGTTCTTCCTCTTGTTCAGATGGAATCTCCTCTCTTGTAGTTTGAAGTCATTGCTCCATTGCGTCCTAGTCTCCAGGGCAGCAGAAAATAAGCTTGCTCCCTCCTCCCTGTGGCTTCCTCTCACATATTTATACATGGCTATCATATCTCCTCTCAGCCTTCTCTTCTTCAGGCTAAACATGCCCAGCTCCTTAAGCCGCTCCTCATAGGGCTTGTTCTCCAGACCCTTGATCATTTTAGTTGCACTCCTCTGGACACATTCCAGCTTGCCTCCACCTTCGTTACTTGGGTTTGGATGGGAATATTTTAATAAATCAAACACAGAAATAATCCTTAGAATGTGCTCTTTAACCACCACTATTTAAATACCAGACAATTGGATACATTTCTGCCAATGATGAACAAGTTTTCTGAAGCCGTCACGGAAGCATCCCACAGTTCTCTCAACGTCTTCATCGGAAGTATAATGATGTCCCCGCAGATCTTCTTTCATTATTGGGAACAGATGGAGGCGAGACGGTGCTAAATCTGGACTGTATGGAGGATGCCGTACGGTGGTGAGATCCAGTCTCTGAAGTTCTGCTGTGTACCCATTGTGCACAGATCTTGGTGTGAAAAAGATCTTGGATTCCTTGTGGACAACAAGTTAAACATGAGCCAACAATGTGATGTGGTGGCAAAAAAGCCAATGGGATTTTGGCCTGCATCAATAGGAGCATAGAGTCTAGATTCAGGGATGTCATGCTCCCCATGCTCTATTCTGCTTTGGTTAAACCACACCTGGAATATTGTGTCCAATTCTGGGCACCACAATTGAAGAGAGATATTGAAAGCTGGAATGTGTCCAGAGGAGGGCGACTAAAATGATCAAGGGTCTGGAGAACAAGCCCTATGAGGAGCGGCTTAAGGAGCTGGGCATGTTTAGCCTGAAGATGAGAAGGCTGAGAGGAGATATGATAGCCATGTATAAATATGTGAGAGGAAGCCACAGGGAGGAGGGAGCAAGCTTGTTTTCTGCTTCCCTGGAGACTAGGACGCGGAACAATGGCTTCAAACTACAAGAGAGGAGATTCCATCTGAACATGAGGAAGAACTTCCTGACTGTGAGAGCGTTCAGCAGTGGAACTCTCTGCCCCAGAGTGTGGTGGAGGCTCCTTCTTTGGAAATTTTAAACAGAGGCTGGATGGCCATCTGTCAGGGGTGATTTGAATGCAATATTCCTGCTTCTTGGCAGAGGGTTGGACTGGATGGCCCATGAGGTCTCTTCCAACTCTTTGATATTAACTCTCTTCCGATAGCCAAGCAAAGCAATAATGTGACCCACACGTTCTTGTGAAATGCCGTTTATGCTTGAAATTTCTCTCTGAGTCATACGACGATCATCCTGAATTAATCTGTCAACCTTTTGCTTGTGAAACTCGGTGGTTGCTGTCACAGGACGTCCAACTCTTTGTTTGTCCTGCAAGTCAGATGTTCCCACCTCAACATCTTTAAACTTATTTGCCCAACAACACACAGTATTTACATCAACACAATCCCCATAAACAGCTTGCATTCTCTGATGAATCTCCTTTTGGGTGACACCTTCTGCTGTCAAGAATTTAATGACTGGACGTTGCTTAAGTCGCATTGACCGACTGCCTGCACAGGGTTCCATACTTCACACTTTCACAACATAACCATTCAATACTAAGGCTTGCCGCCAAAATGGAATTGTAGAGGAGAGTCTCCTGAACAAGCCAGTACCTGCCACATACCAGTACTGCCATCTGTTGAGTTACGAAGGTGAAGGCATTACTTTTCATTCAACCCTCGTACTTGCCTAGCTTTTCATTTTTTTATAATCAACAAAAGTGAACACAAAAAAAGGGAAGCCAATATCATTATGATTTGGTAACAACAGAACAAAGAGGAAGTAAAGCAAGATCAACATGGATTTTATGTTCTGCGAGTTTCAGTTTCACAGCACGTCTTCCAGAATAAAGCTAAAGTGCAGAGTCTTGCTGCAAAAGCAAAACAGGAATATACGAATTATAAATAATGGCTGTCTAGTCTGGAAAGCCCCAGTGGCGCAGTGGGTCAAAGCACTGAACTTGCTAAGCGAAAGGTTACGGGTTTGAATTTGGGGAGCGGCGTGAGCTCCCGCTGTTAGCCCCAGCTTCTGCCAATCTAGCAGTTCAAAAACATGCAAATGTGAGTAGATCAATAGGTACCGCTCCGGCGGAAAAGTAATGGCTCTCCATGCAGTCATGCCAGCCACATGACCTTGGAGGTGTCTACGGACAACGCCGGCTCTTCGGCTTAGAAATGGAGATGAGCATCACACCCCAGAGTCAGACATGACTGGACTTAATGTCAAGGGGAAAACCTTTATATTTTATTCTAGAAAGGGGCTGCAGAAGCGCAGCGGGTTAAACTGCTAAGCTGCAGAATTTGCTGACCAGATGGTCGGTTTGAATCTGTGGGATGGGGTGAGCTCCCATCGTTAGCCCCAGCTTCTGCCAACCTAGCAGTTTGAAAACATGAATGTGAGTAGATCAATGGGTACTGCTTTGGCGGGAAGGTAACAGCGCTCCAAGCAGTCATGCTGGCCACATGACCTTGGAGGCGTCTACGAACAATGCCGTCTTTTCGGCTTAGAAATGGATATGATCACCAACCCCCCAGAGTTGGACACGACTGGACTTAATATCAGGACAAAACCTTTAGCTTTTATTCTGGAAAGAGAAGCGCAGTAGGTTAAACTGCTAAGCTGCAGAACTGGCTGACCGGAAGGTCATTGGTTCAAATCCACGGGATGGGGTGAGCTCCCATCGTTAGCCCCTGCTAAGCTGCAGAACTTGCTGACCGAAAGGTTGTTGGTTCAAATCTGTGGGATGGGGTGAGCTCCTAACGTTAGCCCCAGCTTCTGCCAACCTAGCAGTTTAAAAACATGCAAATGTGAGTAGATCAATGGGTACTGCTTCGATGGGTGCTCTAAGTGGTCATGCTGGAGGACACCTCCAGCATGCTGGAGGACACCTCCAGTGGACACCTCCAAGGTGTCCGTAGACACCTTGGAGGTGTCTACGGACAATGCCAGCTCTTCAGCTTAAAAATTAACATGAGCACCACCCCCCAGAGTCGGACACGACTGGACTTAGTATCAGGAGAAAACCTTTATATTTTATTCTGGAAAGGGGCCACAGAAGCGCAGCAGGTTAAACTGCTAAGCTGCAGAACTGGTCATCAGTTCAAATCCATGGGTTGGGATGAGCTCCCATCATTAGCCCCAGCTTCTGCAAACCTCGCAGTTTGAAAACATGCAAATGTGAGTAGATCAATGGGTACTGCTTCGATGGGTGCTCTAAGCGGTCATGCTGGCCACATGACCTTGGCAGTATCTAGGGACAATGCCGGCTCTTCAACTTAGAAATTAAGATGAGCACCACCCCACAGAGTCAGACTCGACTCGACTTCATGTCAAGCAGACACCTTTTACCTTTATTTTGGAAACTGAATGTCCGAGAGGACTTGATTCTTCTGAGAAGAGCATGTGTCTCTGTCCGTTTTATTCAACCCTGTTTCCTTTGTGCTTCTTTCCAGCCACATCTTCCTCAGCTCCGCAGCAGCCTCCTTCTTCGCCACTTGCGGACGAAATCCATTCGGACGATTCCGATGACATTATCACAGTGCCTCCATTGAAGAAAACATCTCTTGATTTCCACAGCTATCTGCCACCTTCTCCCGGCCTGAGCTAGGAGCACACTACGGAGAGAGCTGAAGATGACACATTTCACCAGTAGTTTTGATCAGAAGGGTCATCCATTGCCAATCTATCCCCCAAAGTTGATAAACCCTACCTCTGCTGCTGCTTCCACCTCTGGGACCAGCTCAGGCTGTTCAGGTCTTCACGGCAGGGCTTCTAAACTCCCCTCTCCACAGCTGAATAAAATCCCATATGATCTGCTTTGAACTGGGATATGCGGCAGTGTGGACTCAGATAACCCAGTTCAAAGCAGATATTGTGGGATTCTCTGCCTTGATATTCTGGGTTATGTGACTGTGTGTAAGGGCCCTAAGGTATCAAACTATAAAGCTGTGCTTGATCAGACCAAAGGCCAATTGAAGCCAGGACTCTGTTCCCAGTCCAACCAGTTAGAGCCTGAGCCACTAACAAACTCCTGCTGGTGTTAATTGGTATTAGGGACATATTGCCTCTCCTGTTACAGGTAACATATATTTCTATCATGATGGTGGAGCCATTGATAGACAGGTTCAAAAAGGAGAATACCGATCCCTTCTTGTGCGCAGACAGAGAGAGGAATATCGATGTATTGTCAAAGGCTTTTATGGCTGGAATCACTGGGTTGTTGTAGGTTTTTTCGGGCTATATGGCCATGTTCTAGAAGCATTCTCTTCTGACGTTTCATCTGCATGTATGGCAGGCATCCTCAAAGATCTCACAACCTCTGAGGATGCTTGCCACAGTTTTGAAGAGAGATATTGACAAGCTGGAAATTGTCCAGAGGAGGGCAGCTAAAATGATCAAGGGTCTGGAGAACAAGCCCTATGAGGAGCGGCTTAAGGAGCTGGGCATGTTTAGCCTGAAGAAGAGAAGGCTGAGAGGAGATATGATAGCCATGTATAAATATGGGAGAGGAAGCCACAGGGAGGAGGGAGCAAGCTTGTTTTCTGCTTCCCTGGAGACTAGGACGTGGAACAATGGCTTCAAACTACAAGAGAGGAGATTCCATCTGAACATGAGGAAGAACTTCCTGACTGTGAGAGCTGTTCAGCAATGGAACTCTCTGCCCCGGAGTGTGGTGGAGGCTCCTTCTTTGGAAGCTTTTAAACAGAGGCTGGGTGGCCATCTGTCAGGGGTGCTTTGAATGCAATATTCCTGCTTCTTGGCAGAATGGGGTTGGACTGGATGGCCCATGAGGGCTCTTCCAACTCTATGATTCTATGATAATCTAGCTTCCGAACATTGGACAAGTTGTCGTTTCCAGGCTGTCTTCAAGGGTAGCCCCACACAGAGTGCATTGCAGTAGTCTAGAGGTACTTGAGGCATGGACTGCAGTTGGCGCACGAGCTTTAATTGTGCGAAGGTCCTCCCGGCCACTGCTTCCACATTTTCTCCCTCTATTTGCCAGTTATCAATCAGAGCAGTTCAGCAGTGGAACTCTCTGCCCCAGAGTGTGGTGGAGGCTCCTTCTTTGGAAGCTTTTAAACAGGCTGGATGGCCATCTGTCAGGGGTGCCTTGAATGCAATATTCCTGCTTCTTGGCAGAATGGGGTTGGACTGCATGGCCCATGAGGTCTCTTCCAACTCTGTGATTCTGGAAGATGCAGGTGAAACGTTAGGAGAAAATGCTTCTAGAACATGGCTATACAGCCCAAAAAACCTACAACAACCCAGAGAAATATCTTGCAGTTTTTTTTAGTGTTCAGGTTTTGTACTTATCCCATTAGCTTCGATGTCATAAAAGCATATGTGCTAGTGGAAAGTACAAAAAACACAGCAAGCTCCTGGGCTTCACAGGGCTCTTGATCCAACAGCAATCAGAGCCAAAGGCTTCAAAGGTTTCAGAGCAGAAGGAGAGCTCTGGGAAGAGGCAGGCGATTGGCTAAAAGCTGTAAAAGGTAAAAGAGTGAGGGGCCACATTCAATAGCTGGCTTTTCCGTAGAACATGGCCCCCTAACTACTTGATCTTCCAGCAATTCCATCAGACTCTGGTTCTTACTGGGAACATTTTGTGTGTGTGTGTGTGTGTTTTTTTTTACTCCAAACCATTTTTATGTTAACATCTGTAATGAATTGACCATCTCTCCTTTCCAAACAGTTGTGCTCATTTATGAGTTCCTTTGGGGAGAGAGGGTGGGTTATTAATAAACTTTTTTAAAGTTGTTGTTGTTGTTGTTGCCAGAATCATTTGCAGCATAGAATCATATAGTTGGAAGAGACCTGGTGGGCCATCCAGTCCAACCCCATTCTGGCTGCCGGTCCACTTCCAAACTCAATTCAAAGTGGTTTTGACCTATAAAGCCCTATTCAGTGGTTCTCAACCTTGGGTCCCCAGATGTTTTTGGCCTACAACTCCCAGAAATCCCAGCCACTTTTCCAGCTGTTAGGATTTCTGGGAGTTGAAGGCCAAAAACATCTGGGGACCCCAGGTTGAGAACCACTGCCCTATACGGTTCCGGCCCAGCTTACTTGTCCGAACGCATCTCCCTCTACGACACATTCCAGCTTAGCGTCAACATCTCCCTTCTGTTGTGGTGGCCAGAAGTGGGCACAGTGTCATTCCAAGTGTGGTCTGACCAAGGCAGAATAGAATAGAGGAGGAGCATGACTTCCCTGGATCTAGACACTAGACTCCTATTGATGCAGCCCAAAATCCCATTGGCTTTTTTAGCAATCTTTTGTTGAGAGGTGATTAGATGTCCTTGTTTGTTTCCTCTCTGTTGTTGTGCTGTTGTAATTTTAGAGTTTTTTAATACTGGTAGCCAGATTTTGTTCATTTTCATGGTTTCCTCCTTTCTGTTGAAATTGTCCACATGCTTGTGGATTTCAGTGGCTTCTCGATGTGGTCTGACAGGGTGGTTGTTGGAATGATCCAGAATTTCTGTGTTCTCAAATAATATGCTGTGACCAGGTTGGTTCATCAGGTGCTCTGCTATGGCTGACTTCTCTGGTTGAAGTAGTCTGCAGTGCCTTTCATGTTTATGTGTTTGCGCAATGCTGCATTTGGTGGTCCCTCTGTAGACTTGTCCACAGCTGCATGGTACACCGTAGACTCCTGCAGAAGTCCTTTGCTGAACCTAGCATTTGTTGGATTTTCTTGGTGGGTCTGTAGATAGTTTGTATGTTGTGTTTCCTCATTAGCTTCCCTATGCGATCAGTGGTTCCCTTGATCTATGGCAAGAACACTTTTCCTCTGGGTGGATCTTAATCTTTACTCTTGTGGCTTGTTCTTGGTTGTCTTGCAGCTCTTCTGATGTCTGAGGTGGAGTCTCCATTGGCCTGGAGAGCCCAGTTTAGGGGGTTCAGTTCATCTTGGAGGAGGTGGGGTTCGCAGTGTTATTACCAGTATTAAAAAACTCTAAAATTATAACTAAATAAAGAACAACACTCAAATACAGGAGGACTCCAGAGAAGAAACAATCAGGGAAAACTAATCACATCTCAATAAAGGATTTCCCCAGGCAGTAACAAGTCACACCTAAAAACTGTCAGGCCATCAAATGCTAATCAAGGTGGCCAATGGAAATATTCACACCTAGCTCCAACACATAAGAGTCCTTTCTCCCACCCTGGACTTTCCACAGACATATAAACTCAATTTTGCTAGTTTCCAGCAGACCTCACAACCTCTGAGGATGTTTGCCATAGATGCAAGCAAAACGTCAGGAGAGAATGCTTCTAGAACATGGCCATATAGCCCAAAAAACCTACAACAAACCAAACCTATTGACTTTCTCGCAGTGCTATTCGGCACAGGGGGAAAGCTAGCCATTTTGGTCTCATTAATTGTCAAGCTCTGCATCTCAGACAATATGGTGCGTTGTTCTGCTTCCAGTGGCTTCCTCTCCCTCTTTGTAACAAAAAGAAACTGGCTTTCTCTCTCTCTCTCTTTCTCTTACACTGAATGCTTGTTAAATCAGGGATGGAGCCTGTTCTTTATCTGACACTTACTGTCATTTGTGCCAGCACTTGCAGCCAAAAAGGATGGCTACAGCACAGAGCAGATGAGTTATGCTTAATCCCATCAGTGGAAAGCCTTGTCTGTAGTGCTTCCAGAGGCAGCTGCTTGGAGCTGTCCAGAGCAAAGGCAATCAGGAGAGAGGTTTATATCAACCGGGAAATTATCTCCAGATGCTGTTCCAGTCACGTGGCCATCATTGTCGGGGGCAAAAGGTGGCTCCAATGAGCTCTTTTTCTGCACAGCTCTATGCGTAGTTAGGCACTGTCAGAACATTACGGAAAGACGCTGGTGTTGCTGATCCGGTGAGGAAGGAGAGGGTTAACAGCACAAGGAATGCCTCTGCAAGCCATGCTCCAGCTTCAGATTTCCCTAGATAACTCCAAAGGGCGTTTAAGGGCCAAGACAGGAGCAAAATGTTTCCCACACGCCAAACCCAAGAGAGAGGGTTGTATGAGTAATTTGATGGAACTGGATCTTCTTGTCTGTCAACTGTGAGCAGTAATAAAGAGCTAATAACAAAGCACTTAGGAGAGAAATGCAAGGATGAGCGGCCCGTATTTCCACAGGACAGTAGAACTAAGAGCCTGGCATTTCCTAATCTGATGGGAATCATCAGGGGAATGATTTAAAGGTAGAGAATGAGCAGGCTATCTAATGAGCTGGCGTGCTGCTAAGACATAAAGCTGACGAAATGGTAATAAAGTCAGAGCATTTGGTGTTGCTTCAGTTCAAGTGACTGAAGTTCAGCTGGTCTTGGGAACTGCACCAGGTCGCATTTGCGTTCAGTGTCAGATTAAAGTCAGTCTCAACCCACAGATCTGATCATTGGGTTCTAGAGAAGAGGATTAACTGGCTGCAGTCAGTGTCACAGTTAGGAGGAAAGACAAATCTGATCCTATTCCTGGCCTTAAATTATCATCCCAAAAAATGTTTTTTATAATACAACAAAGCAGGTAATATGCTGTGAATAAGATGCATGATTCTTATGAATGAACAGCATTTCTGGATATTGTGATGAAATGAAAATCATGTGCAGTTCACGTTTGATCAGCCCACACACTGCCTTGCCAGAGAAAGAAAATATTCCATGCAGATGAACAGTAAAGAACAAGTAGTTTGCTCTTCGTAGTTCAGAACAAAATATGCACAATAATGTGATTAGCTCAATCGACTCAAATAATGTCCTTCTATGAGAGATTTACTTACTTACTTACTTACTTAGGCGATCCCTCATTGGATGAGTAAGATGGTCTTCCATGATGGGTTTCCTTGTGGATTCGTAGGTGGCTGTGGAGCCCTATTCTTGACCCGCAACTTCTCCCACAGTGAAGGCATTGGTTTCCAGGTGGAAGGCGGTCCCAGTCGGGGTTTGCTTGATGCGCCTACCTCCTGGCACGCTTCTCTCTTTCACCTTCCACTCATGCCTCCCTGAATTCTGCAGCACTGCTGGTCACAGCTGACCTCTAGCTGGAGCGCTCAAGGGCCAGGGCTTCCCAGTTCTCAGTGTCTATGCCAGAGATTTTAAGGTTGGCTTTGAGACCATCTTTAAATCTCTTTTCCTGTCCACCAACATTCTGTTTTCCGTTCTTGAGTTCAGAGTAGAGCAACTGCTTTGGGAGACGGTGATCAGGCATCTGGACAACATGGCCGGCCCAGCGGAGTTGATGGCAGAGGACCATCGCTTCAATGCTGGTGGTCTTTGCTTCTTCCAGTACGCTGACGTTTGTCCGCTTGTCTTCCCAAGAGATTTGCAGGATTTTCCGGAGGCAGCGCTGATGGAATCATTCCAGGAGTTGCATGTGACGTCTGTAGACAGTCCACGTTTCACAGGCATATAGCAGGGTTGGGAGGACAATAGCTTTATAGACAAACACCTTGGTATCCCTACGGATGTCCCGGTCCTCAAACACTCTCTGCTATGAGAGATTTAAAATGGTCTTTCTTTGTCCATATGGATAATCTCCTTCAGCAACCCATGAAGCAAGAGCACACTCCAAACTCTGTCTCTCACTGCTTCTCTCTTCTTCTCTCTGAGCACATGCATAGCTCAAGTCTGATAAATACCATACTTTGAGAAGCCTGACTTGGCCACGGTAGTCCATGCTCTGGTTACATCCCGTATAGACAAATGCAACGCGCTCTACGTGGGATTGCCTTTGAAGACAGTCCGGAAGCTTCAACTAGTCCAACGAACAGCAGCCAGGTTGCTAACAGGAGCGGCCTCAGAGAGCATATAACCCCCTTGTTGCACCAGCTCCACTGGCTGCCGGTTTTCTACTGGGCCCAATTCAAAGTGCTGACTTTGGCCTTTAAAGCCCTAAACGATTCTGGCCCAACTTACCTCTCCCAACGCATCTCCCCATACGAACCACCGAGGACCCTGAGATCATCTGGGGAGGCCCTGCTCTCGGTCTCACCTTCGTAACAAGTACATCTGGCGGGGAGGAGAGACAGGGCCTTCTCAGTGGTGGCCCCTCAGCTATGGGAGATCAGATCAGCTCCCTCCCTACTAATGATTTGGAGGCAAGTTAAAACATGGTTGTTTGAGCAAGCGTTCACAAATGCAGAGTAACTGACACAGGAAATTGAATGACTTGACAATGGAACTGGATGATGTTTGATAATGAGGAGCTGCTAATGATGTTATTATTGTTGTTTTATACTGTTTTAATGTTTTAACTTGTTTTATGATATTATGTGTACTGTTTTGTTGGAAACCGCCTTGAGTCACCAATTGGCTGAGAAAGGTGGTATACAAATACAGCAAATAAATAAATAAAAATACAAAATAAATGTAACAGTATCCCAAAGGCCCAGGCTCAGCCAGCTCCCTGGGCATAGCCTGACCAATCAGCTTCATGCATCTTATTTTACAGTTGACGCAAACACATTAAATAATTTCTTACATGCTCCAACAGATATGGCTATTAATGTCCTTTCAGAAATTAGAAAGCAATTCTATAAATGTATTTATTTATTTCAGTTACTTTTACCCCGCCCTTCTCACCCCTAGGAGGACTCAGGGCGGCTTACAGACAAAAGGCACAATTCGATTCCTGAATCAATACACAAACAATACAAAAGCAATTCAAAGAGTTTACAATTAAAACATCAATACACAATAAAATAACAAGACAATCTCATTCTCAGAGTTCAGAGTCCATATATCCATTCCATTCCATCTGTCCTTGTTTATCATCAGA